GATGAAAGAATAGGAGAGAGAGGAAGGAAGGGAGGGAGGGAGTGGAAGAGTGGGAGGAGAAAGAGAGAAAGAGAGAGAGAGAATGATGGGTAATAAAAAAGAAAAAGGGAAAAACAATTTTCAGATTGATTTTTCCGACATCAAACGACATTGACAAGGGTTAAACATAAATTAAAGGCAACGTCGATTGATTTTATTAGGGGGGGGGGAAAAAAAAGAAAAAAATTTATTCTTTCGTTTGACCTTTGAACCGCGTCTCTAACCGAATCAAAGAAAAAATAAACTTTTTGTATTATTATTATTAATAACGTCCGGTAATTTTTGTAATGATTAAAAAATTAAGAAAATTATTATTTTTTTTTTTATCGAATGCATCCCAGAAAATAAAAAACAAAATGGCGGTGATTGTGAAGGAGGAGAGGAGAGGAAAAAGAGGAAAGGGGGGAATTTTTTTTTTTTTGAAAAATGTTACAATTACTTAATTGGACTTTTCGAATCGTTTTAAATTTTAAATTTCGTGTCGAATCGAAAAAAAAAAGAATAATTAATGAAAAATTTTCATGAAGATTTATTAGAGAAAGAGAGAGAGAGAGAGGAAGAGTGTGAGAGAGAAAGAGAGAAGGAGAGAAGGAGAGAGAATGAGAGAAAGTAAGAAAAAGAATGTAAGAGAGAGAAACAGAGACAGAAAAGAAAGAGAAAAGACAGAAAGAGAGAAGAGCGGAGAGAATGAGAGAAAAGAAGAGAAAGACTGTGTGTGAATGATAGGGAGAGAGAGAGAAGGAAAAAAGAGACAGAGAAAATGGAAGAATGCGAGAGAGATAAAGAGAATCAGAGAGAATGAAAGATAAAAAGAATGCTAGAGAGGAAGAGAGGAAGAATGTGCGTGAGCAATAGAGAAAGAGAGAGGAAGGAAAAGAAAAAAAAAAGAAAAAAAGGAAAGAGAGAAAAAGAAAGAATGCAAGAGAAAGAGAAGGAGAAAAAGAAACAAAGGAAACTAGAAAAAGGAGGAAAAAAGACAAAAAAATAGAAAGAGAGATAAAAGGAAAAAAAAGTATAAGAGGGAGAGAAAAAGGAAGAATACGAGAGAGAGAGAGAGAGAGAGAGAGAGAGAGAGAGAGAGAGAGAGAGAGAAAGGAAGAGAATCAGAAAAAGAAAAAAAAGAGAGAGAGCGAAAGAAAAAAATTCCTTTTTTTTCCTATGAATATTTAAACGACCGATAATTATCATTATTATCATTATCATCATCATCATCATCATCATCATCATCATCATCATCATCATCATCATCATCATCATCATCATCATCATTATTGTCATACGCGTAAAACTCGAAAAAATCGGTAAAAAAAAAAAAATTTTTTTATTTTTTTTTGGAACATAATATTATTTAGGTGAGAGAAAATCCATATATTTTCCTCTTCGGTAATTTTACATCCACCTCCCCTCTCCCGAACAAAAAAAAAACGTGGAAAAAGACGAAGGGAAAACATTAAAACAGTGTTACCTATTTTTCATTAAAAATTATTTTAACAAATATATCATATTCGTCGTATCGGTAACGGTTATTTCAAGTTAACAAAAAAAATTTAATTAAAAAAAATTTTTTTTTTAATTTCGTGGCAGTAGAATCGGCCATAAATCGCAAACGAATAAAAAAGGTTTTTTTTGAAAAAATCGACAAGATGAATAGTTTACAATTTGAAATAACAAAACGAAGAAAACGGAAAATCAAAATAAAAACGGAAAATTTTCAAATATTGTATTTTTATTCAACTACTAAAAGTTTTGTTTGTCTGTTAGTTTGTTTGTTTGTTTGTTTGTTTATTTCTAATTTTTTTTTTGTTATACGTTCAGCAAAAATTGATTTCGAGAAAAAAAAAGAATAAGGGTTAATTGAAAAGGGTCGAAAAAAATTTTTCCCAACTTTTAACAAAGATTTTAATGCGGCAAACAACTGTTCTATTACTCTATGCTTTTCTCGTGTGTGTGTGTGTGTGACGTCATTAGCCTCCTCATCCTCTCTTTCATTTGTTACTAATATTAGTTTTTTTCATTTCGTTTCGTTTTTTTTTTTTTTTAAAGGCTTACGTATGAATGCGTACGTACGTATGCGTGTGTGTATAATGCGTAAACGAGTTCCCGAGGGAATGAAAAAAAAAGGGAATTTAAAAAAAAATACAAATTAAAAAAAATGAAAAAAAAAAAAATTAATCGAGAATTGTTTTAAAATTTTTATTTTTATTTTTTACGTTTTTTTAAAAATTATTCTTATCATTTTTTCCTATTGTTATCATCATCACCATCATTATTATTATTATCATCATTATCATTTTTATTTACCATTAAATGTTTATTAAAAAATTGAAATTGACAATTTTAAAAAAGAGAAAAAAATTTTTTCGTCACGTATAACAACAACATTTTTTAAATATTATTATTATTATTATTATTATTATTACAATATTATCCCATAAACTTTTCCGACTTTTCCCCCACTCATTTCCCTTCCCCCCTACTCCCCACCATTCCTCCTCTCAATTATGCAAATTTATTTTTTTATTTTTAAAATCCGGTTTCTTATTTTTCTTCTTCTTTTTTTTTTTTTTCTTTTTCGTACCGGAAATTATTTCACTATTAATTTGTAAATTATTATTATTATTATTATTATTATTATCGTGTAAGATAAATTTACGTTATTTAAGTTTATTTTATAACTATTTCCGGTTTCTTTCTTTCTTTTAAGTATATTTATATAATTAATCTTGTCGTTTTCTTTTTTTTGTTTAACGATGGCGAATTTAAATTAGTTTAGGAAAACTTTTTTTTTTTTTAATTAATTAATTGAAAACACGTATCGTAAAAAAAAGGAAAAAAGGAAAAAAGGAAAGGAATAAATAAATTTAAATAATACTTTTTTAAACTAATTATTATTATTAACGTTTTTTTTTTTTAAATTTTATTAATAATGATGATAAATAGAAAACTATTCGCTTTTTTATTTTTTTTTTGACAAGATGATGAGAGAATTTTTTCAAAATATAAATTTTCTTTCTTTCTCTCTCTCTCTCTGCCTTCTCCCCAATCTCTCTCTCTCTCTCTCTCTCTTTAGGGGGATTTATATAAGGAAAAAAAATGGCTGCTTTTTAAAAAGAATAAGAAAGGGAAAAATATTATAGAGGATATGAATTGAAGTATATCTCATATATCAACAAAATTTCATTTAAGTGCAATTCAAATATATTTTTATTTATATTGGAGGGGGGAGGGAGGTGGTGGTTATAGTGGGGGGCGGGGAGTTAAGAGAATAAGTAACCGCGAAAAGGAGGGATTTTTTTATTTATTTAAATAATTAATTAATTTATTATAGATTTTTTTTTTTTTAAATATTAAATCACTTCGTAAACCTCGTCTGTTTAAAAAAAAAAAATTTGGGGGAGGAGAGAAAGGAAGGGAAGGGGTTGGGGGGAAAAGTTTTTTTCGGTTTATTAAACTGTAAAAAAAAAAAAATGATTACATTTTTCTCTTTTGCAATCAATCATTCTCATTTTTTTAAAATTTATTCTCGTAAAACCATTCAATCATCAAAAAGAAAACGATGACAAACTTGAAAAGTTTTTACTTCCCCCCCCCTTTTTTTCCTTCTTTTATTATTATTATTATTTGTTTTTTCTTCGAACCTTTTTTTTCGTCATTATACATTTTTTTTATTAAAAAAAAAAAAAAAAAACTTGTTTTTCACGTGAAAATTCCTAAAATTTTCATTTTCATTCCTTCGAAAAAGGTTACCGTTTTTTAAAACTCGGCAATGTTCATATTGGAAAGTATTACAAATTGCATAACCTAAAAAATAACAGGAGTTTTTTTTTGATTTTAACGAAAATTTTACATTCACGCGAAAAAATTAAATTTAAATTTAAATTAATATTTACATAATAATAATAATAATTATAATGCATATATAATACTAGAGGGGGGTATAAAAAGAAACTCGGTCGTAATTTTTTTTTTAATTAAAAAAATTATAAAAAAAAAAAGGGAAAAAATAATTTTTCTCTTAACTCGTGCAAAAAAATAAATAAGAAGAAGAAAAGGAGCGTGTGCGAGAGAGAGAGAGAGATAGTGAAAAAGGAAAAGGAAGAAGAAAAACATATTTAAATAATTAAAGATTCTACTTCGTAAAGAAATATATAATACTAACTTGAACATATAAATTATTTATGTAAAAAGTGAATAAATTGAAAAGTCAAAAAGTCAAATAATTACGACGTAGAAATAAATAAATAAGTAAAAAGAAGATAAATTTTTTTTTAATTCCTTAAAAAGACGAAGTAAATACTTTGATGATGATGATGATAATAATAAGGTGTATATATAAACTTTAAAAGCGATCGCATTATTAATTTATAAACACGCACACGCCCACCCACCCTTACCCACAAAGAAAGAAAAAGAAGGAAAAGGAGGAGGATAGAGAGAAAAAAAAATTTATTTTACGTATTATTATTATTATTCGTTAAGGTTTTTAATTGAAACAAACGTAATTAAATAAAACATTTAAAATACTAATTAATCGTCGTGTAATTAGAAAAAAATTTCTTTTTATTAAAAGTATCAAAACTCGTAGAAAATAATAAAAAAAAAAATGTGGAGGAAAAATTTATTAAATTTTTTTTTATCGTTTAATAATTTTATCAAAATACATAATTTTTTTTTTTTTTTTAATAAATAACATATTTCAATTATTTCATTTCTTTCTTTCTTTCTTTCTTTTTCTAAAAAAAAAAAAGTGGAAGAAGAATGAAAAAAAAAAAAAAGGATGGAAAAAAAGAAATGAATGAATGGAACACGGTCGAACGAGTTTTTATTATTAAATATTTTACTTTTTTTTTTTTTTTATCCTCTCAGATATTTAATTTTTAAAATTAAAAATTATTATTATTATTATTAATATTATTATTATTTTGTTTCCAGGTATAAAAAAAGAAAAAAATTGGTTCAAAATGAAAAAAATCTACGGTTCGCTTATTGTTATACTCGAATTAACGTTTATATTAAACGAAGGTTTATCATTTGCGATGGAAACATCGACGACGACGACGACGACGACAGAAAAATCCGTTAAAATCGATGATGATGATAACGTTATCAATAATAAAACGACGACGACGACAGGAAAATTCATTATCAATTCGAAACCGACGACGACGACGACGATAATAATAAATGATGGAGATAAAACAACGGAAAATGTTAAAATTGTAACGACGACGGAATACGTTACTAATTCATCCAGGATTACGACAGTAAAACCTGAAATTATGACGTCATCATCCACGACGAATCGTCCGAATGAAAAATCAAAAGATTACATTAATAACGGTAATAAAACCGAACCGAAAATAATGGAAATAATGACGAAAATAACGGATTCGACGAATGAAAAAGAACAAAATGGCGGCGGTGGAGTTTACGGTCCTAGAATCGATGGAATCGAAGCGAGATTCGAACCTGTTAAACATGCAATACCGGAAAAATTAAAAGAAAAATTGGATGCTTTGTCCTGTGACGTACCACCATTACCGAGTGAATCCACACTTTGGAACGGAAATGAAACTCGGGATTTATCCCTTCCAATAACGGTAAGTGGCCGTCATTTTTTTTAAAATAAATAAAATATTCGTAAGAGAAACAATACCGGAAGTGATCCCGTTTTTACAAAAAATAATGATGAGAAAAATTCCCCCCCAAAAAAAAAAAAAAAAAAAATTTAAGGTCCCACCGAGATTTGAACTCGGATCGCTGGATTCAAAGTCCAGAGTGCTAACCATTACACCATGGGACCGCCGTGCGATATTTCTTAACATTACTATAACTTAAGAGTAAAATATAAATTTCAACTTGATTCCACATCGTTAAATATTTACGAAACGTTTGTTAAATAAACGATGACTTGCGTTTTCTTAAATTATTCCTTTCGATTGCATCCGTTATTTATTCAATTCGATTGTATTATAGTCATTTTAAATGGTAAATAAGACGACGAGATTTTCTTTTTTTTTTTTTTTTTTCAAAAATTCAGGTCGTTATTGATAAATTTTAACAATGACAAAAAATAAAAAAGAGAGAGAGAATAAAAGGGGGGGAGGAAGTAAAATATCATTGAATGATTTTTTCACACACACACACATAGAGAGAGAAAGAGAGAGAACAACAAATCGTTTTTAGATAATATCTAAATAGAATTTTTTCTTTTTTTAATAAAACGTTTTTATTTTCCATCTATCTATCTATCTATCTATCTATCTCTCTCTCTCTTTCTTTTTGTTCGTCCACGTATTTTTTTCATACGACGACCATCTATCCATTTTTATTGTTCAAAAAAAAACCATTTTCTATTCTTTCTTATCGTACTTCACGAACAAAAATAAAAAAAAATTTTTTTTTAAAGACAACCAAAAAGAAAATGGAACCGTATAAATTTTTTCCAAAAAAAAAAAAAAAACCATAAAAAAAGGTAAAAATTATTACTATTATTATTATTATTATTATTATTATTATTATTATTATTATTATTATTATTATTATTATTATTATTATTATTATTATTATTTAAAAGGGAAAAAAAATTATATTAAAAATCTTTTTCTATTTTATGTTGATTTCGACTCGTCCAATTTTCACTTTTTTTTTTTTTTTTTTTTAATATTTAATTTAAAATTTAAAATTCAAATTTGTTATCGTATTTCCTTTCCCCCCCCCCCTTTCACCGACCGACTCTTCGTAATTTATTCCTTTTTTTTTCTTCTCCAGGATTATTCTGGAATTTTCTTTTTTTACTCTTTTTAATCTCACATTTGTTATGTTTTATGTAAGGTACCAAAAAATTTGTTTCTCTCTCTCTCTCTCTCTTATAAAGAATATGACGAATGATATAATACTGTGATCATTATCATCATTATCATCATTATTATTATTATAATTATTAGCTCTGATTGTTTTTGAATATAATCGTATATGAAAATCGAATACTAAGTAATATTGCGAATTACGAATTTTCTCTTTCTCTCTCTCTCTCACGATTTTCCCATAATCTAACACCATCATCATCATCATCATTGTCATCATCATTATCATCACCACCACTACAACCGGAATAATAAAAAAAAAAAAAGAAAGAAATTTGATATGAAATACATAATGTTTAAAATGTTAAACAAATAAAACTGGGAAAAAAATTTTCCTGGAAAGAAAAAGAAAATTTTTTTTTCTTTTTTTTCCCGGAATTTTCTTTTCTTTTACCGTGTTACCGTGGGAAATTTCTTTTTTTTTTTTTTTAAATTCGATAAATCGAAAGGTTAAGAAAAGTAATTAATAACAAAAAAAAGGAGAAAAAAGGAAACTGAATTTTTATATATAAGGAAAAGTTTTAATGAAAAAAAAAAATTTACCATCCTGTTCTTTTAATATCAGTAAAGGTGAATTAAATCTCTCTCTCTCTCTCTCTTTTGTCTTTTTCAATAACAATAATAATAATGATAATAATCGGTTCATCCTCTTTAAAACAAAAAAAAACTTCTTTTTGTGTGTGAAATTTTTTTTTTTTTTTTAATCGTTTTTCTAAAGTTTTCCAAAACTTTTTCACAAATCAATAATATGCATATAAATCGATAAATTTCATCATCGTACGAATTGTTTTCCAGGTTTCTACGACGTTAATATTAATAATAATGATAATTAATCACCGGAATAACGGGATTGATTTATTATTATTATTATTATCAATTTTTTTCTATTTAAATGCGTTCAAAATTTAATTAATTATACGGTTTCGTCGTGTTCGAGGTACGAAATCTCAACCGGATATTATTATTATTATTATTAGTACGAACGTCTACGTATTAATTCGTAAATTATTATTAATATTAACGCCTTTCGAACGAATTTTCCGTGCATTTGAAAGTTTCCAAAATTCATTTTCGGAACGTTTAACCGATTTCTCAAAAACAGATGCTGTAATATCGTTGGTTGATATCATTATCATCATTATCATCATTATTATTATTATCATTATTATTATTATTATTACACACGTGGAAATGGATTTAAATCGAAAAAGGAGAAAAAATAAATTATTATTATTATGGGATGATATATACGCGTTTAATATATAAAAATAAAAAAATCATTTCTGCTTTCCGCTCTCTCTATCGGATAAAAAAAGAAACATGAGTTTTTTTTTAAAAAAAAGATGAATGATGAATAATAATAAAAAATGGCGGATGATAACGGTTGAACGATCAAAAGGATTCGCGCGACGACCGTTATTATTATATTTAATTTTATTAAAACGTTTTCGCTTTTTTTTTTTTTTTTTATTTATTTTTGTTAAAATCTCATCCTCCATTTTTTTTTTTGTTTTTTCATTGAATAACTTTACGCTCGACGACGTATTTTCGCTTTAAAAAAAAAAAAAACGGGAGAAGAAAATTTTGTAACGTTTTTTTTTTTTTAAACTGTAATTCGAACGTGACGTCATACATCGATATTTTTTTCCGTTATGATTGTCGCTCACGTGAAAAAAAATTTTATTTATTTATTTATTTTTTAATCAAATTTTCCTTCTTACGCTCCTGTTCTCGTCCTCCTACTTTAATTCCCTGTTGTTGCTGTTGTCGTTTTCGATGACGTCATCATCATCGTTTTCCGCGATAAAAATAAATCTCTTGTAATATAATAATAAAAAAAAATTTTTTTCTTTTTACAAATGTTGTCAGCCATGATTTTTAACTTACAATAATAATAATAATAATAATAATAATAATAATAATAATAAAACATTTTCATTTAAATTTATTAAAATAATTTTTAAAAAAAAAAACTACACGAACAAGGGTAATAAAAATAATAATAATAATAACATTAATAATAACAACAAGGAATCAAGGGGGGTGGAGTGGGGGGTAGGGAGAGGGAAGGAAACGATGATGATGATGATGATAATAAATTGTTTAAGAAAAAAAAAACTTTTCTTAACTTTTTCCCTCGTGTTTATTATGTTTTTTAACCAAAGCAAAAAAAAA